CTAAGAGATCTGAGGAGGATAAATGAGTGGCTAGGTTTTACCCCAATTCTAGCACTCCACTTGCTTTTAGTATTCTTTGGAGTAGCTGTGATCTAATCTTCTGACTTAGTGCACATGTACTCCAGCCATCTAATGTGAATTCTCTCGAGTTTCCTCCTCAACTCCAAAGTTTCCTAGCTAACACACCATGCATTCCTCTCTCTTTCCCTTCACTAGTCCTCCTTCTCAACAGTAATTTCTGGATCTATGGTCTTGAATGTTCCACTTTTATATTCTTGTTATGGATTATCTCTACCACATTTTTCCCCTTTGTTTAGCATGAGTATCTTACATCTATACCCTCCATACCCACTATCAACTCCCCCAAAATGTTTATTCATTTTTGAAAGACAGAGACAAAGCACAAGCAGGGGTGGGGCGGAGAGAGGGGGTGGGGACACAGAATCCGAAGCAGGCTCCAGGCTCCAAGCTGTCAGCACAGAGCCTGATGCAGGGCCCAAACTCACGAACCGCGAGATCATGACCTGAGCCCAGAGGCCGACGCTCAACCGACCAAGCCACTCAGGTGCCTCCAAAAAATTTTGTTTTTAATGTATATCTTTGACACAGATAGAGACAGAGTATGAGCGGGGGAGAGGCAGAGAGAGACAAACACAGAATCTGAAGCAGGCTTCAGGCTCTGAGCTGTCAGCACAGAGCCTGACATGGGGCTTGAATCCATGAACTGAGATCATGACCTGAGCTGAAGTCGGACACTCAGCCAACTGAGCCACCCAGGCGCCCTAAAAGTCATAAACTTTCTAATGGAACTTTTTATCAGAGCTATAGCTTCCTTGATGTCTTCCTAACTGACCCTCTTTCCAATTCTCTTATTTTGCACTAAATGATAACTCTCTTATGAAGTACCTCCAATTTGATATGGCATTAAAGTATGTACATTTATCGCTGACTATAAATGCGTAAGTTCATCCATGGTAGATAGGACATAACTCTGCATCATCAGCTGTCAGTCCTTAATGTCTTCCCAACAAAGAGGATAACAGTAAGAGTGGGAAAATTTTGGTATGCTACTCTGACAAATTCTAGTACTGGAAGCTCACCTTACAGTATTCCTACATTTCAAATAGCCTGCTATTCCTTTTAAAGAACTAGTGTATTTTACCACCTTCCAGTAGAAACACTCTAAACACCTGCTTACTTTCCTTTATTTATTCCCTGTAGTCTCCACTGTTCTCATCATTCCCTCTTTGGCTCTTTTCTTATTTCCTGAGGTTCCTTAGGTCTTACAGTATCTTGAAAGGGAACTAGTCATTTAGCTCCTTTGGTGGCACTCTCAATTTAATCTGTTGCTGACACCACATAAGATACAACTTATCTCCTTTTCACATCTCTTTCTCTTTACTATGCATTTAATAGGTGATTTTCTTTAGATATTAGAATATATCAGTATTCCTGTTTTAAATCAACATTCTGTCCAGTGACCTCTTAGTAAAATACAGTTCTTACCTTCTACTTGTCCATTTAATATACTTTGCCCTTTCTGATCCACAGCTCCAGATAAATGAGGAACATATTTGTTTGGACTCTCAGACATACTCTGTTAAAATTAGCATCAATAATGAGTTGTGTAAAGATTTCCTAATCCTTTTCTAAGAAAATATCTGAATTTCCGATTTTAATAACAATCAGACTTACAAATAAGAAAAACATATTGAAAACCAAAACATTTAAATAGAAAACCTCATATATGCTCTCTTGATTAAGTGTACCTTTTAATCTTCATTTGGCTATTGACTCTGTACACTGAACATGGAAGGCCAGAATACTTTCATAGACAGAAGACTGACTTATATGCACATTTCAAAAAGGAACTAACAAAACACCTTACTTTGCATTCCCGATCAAAATAAAAGGACATTTAAAATAAGTATTTAAATAAATTCTTTAGGGGCGCCTGGGTGGCTCAGTCGGTTAAGCGTCTGACTTCAGCTCAGGTCATGATCTCACAATGCGTGGGCTCGAGCCCCACGTCAGGCTCTGTGCTGACAGCTCAGAGCCTGGAGCCTGCTTTGGATTCTGTGTCTCCCTCTCTCTCTGCCCTTCCTCCACTCACATGCTCTCTCTGTCTTTCAAAAATAAATAAACATTAAAAAAAATTTTTTAAACAAATTCTTTAAAAGTATACTTGCTATAAATTTAAACTGCTTCTAATAGAATGGCCCACATTTGTTTTAGTGTTAATTGATATCTCATATGATAAGAAACTTGGGAGTATATCATGTTGAGTATAAACAAAACACTGTTGTAGCTGCTGCTTCATTTAGGTAAACAAAGGCTTGAAATTTTTATTGATGAAAGAAGGGTTGGATCGAATGGCAAAGTAATAAGAAAAACTTTTCTTCAAATTATGGTTAACTAATAGTAAAAAAATTTTAGATATGGGTATGAAACTCTTCAAAAAGTGTTGTAAGCTTTTAAAAGGCAAGTATAAGAACATTTATTTACTAACCACCTAAAATGTGCCAAGCACTTATCTCAGTATGCACATTTTCTTTTCTACACACAACAATGATTATGATGATGGAGTGGGTCTTCCTACTTCTTGGTCACTCTAAGACATTAGAGTAAAATGATGATCCGTGGTTCTCTCTGTCCAGAATGTCCCTCGCCAAGATCTTCACATGACTGGTCCTTCTCATCTTTCACTTGGCAGCTTTTGCCACACTCAGATCTTTTCTGACTACCAAAATTCCTACTCCCACTCTCATCCTCATCCTCACTACAAACTCCCCCAATATTCTCTAACCTAACATTCTCCATTTTCTTTCTAGGAAGCATTTATACTGACTTATAACGGATTGCTGTTTACTTACTTTTCTGCTCCGACCACTACAACCTAACCCCTCAACTTGTACACTCAGTATCTAACTGCTCGGTACGCAGTCAGTATATAAGGACAAATTTATTAAGGTCAAAAAATTTGCAATAATCTCATTGAGAAGATCTCAAAAGTACCAAATCACTATACTGTTGACCCTTGAACAAACCAAGGGTTAAGGGCTCTGATGGCCATGCACTCGAAAATCCACAAGTATCAAAAACGTAGCTACTAATCTACTGAATTTCCTACTTGAAAAGCAATTAGACGAGGCACCTGGGTGGCTCAGTCGGTTGAGTGTCCAACTTCGGCTCAGATCATGATCTCACGGTTCATGAGTTCAAGCCTCGTGTCGGGCTCTGTGCTGACAGCTCAGAGCCTGGATCCTGCTTCCGATTCTGTGTCTCCCTCTCTCTCTGCCCCTCCCCCACTCACAATGTGTCTCTCTCTGTCACTCAAAAATGAATAAACGTTAAAAACTTTTTAAAAATAAATAAAAGCAAAAGCAATTAGACTTAAAAATCGAAAAGTATATATTAAAAACCAGAATATTAAAGCAGAAGCCCTCTAATCTACCTGTTAATCCTCATTCGGCCATTAACTCTGTAAATTGAGCATGGAAGGTCAGAGTTACTATAACGAAATGCTGACCTTACCAGTAATATAAACAGTCGATTAACACATGTTTTCTATGTTATATGTATTAAATACTGTATTCTTACACTATAAACTAAAGAAAAGATTATTAAGAAAATCGTAAGGAAGCAGTGCTGGCTGGTGCTGTCGGTTAAGGGTCAGGCTCTTGACTTTGGCTCAGGTCATGATCTTACAGGTCGTGGGTTCAAGCCCAATGTAAGGCTCTGTGCTGGCAGTGTGGAGCCTGCTTAAGATTCTCTATCCCTCTTCCTCTACTCGCAGGCTCTGTCCTCTCTCTGTCTCTCAAAATGAATAATAAAAAAAGAAAAAGAAAGTCATAAGGAAGAGAAAATACATTTACAGGATGGTACTGTATTTATAGAAAAAAAATCTGTATGTAAGTGGACTCCCACAGTTCAAGCCCATCTTGTTCAAGGGTCAACTGTATACACATATGATGTCTCTACTAATAGATTACTGAAACTTAATATAGCCCAAATTAGAAAATCAAAAACCCATTCTAACTTTCCCATTCTCTTCTGGACACTACTGCCATTTTATTGGCCTTCAGACATCTTCACATAAAAAAAGTATTCTGGAGAGCCTGGGTGGCTTTGTCAATTAGGCGCCCAACTTTGGCTCAGGTCATGATCTCACAGTTCATGAGTTCAAGTCTTGCACTGGGCTCCCTGTTCTCAGTGCAGAGCCTGCATCGGATCTTCTTTCCCCTCACCCCCCCTCTCAAAAATAAACAAAGATTCAAAAAAAAAAAAGTATCCTCAATATTTAGTAAGTCACTAAATACCACTGTGATCATTTTGTCTTCTATTTCTATAGCCCCCTTTACAGTTTTCAAAGCATTACCACATCTGTTCATTACACAAAACCAAGAGGCGAGTATTAGTACCATCTTTAGGAACGAGGTCATTGACATTCAAACAAGTTAAACAAGTTTTTCCAAGATCCCACAGCTAGGAAGTGATGGAACCAAGATGACAGCATGTCTTTTGACTTCAAATACAGTGCTTGCAGCATTATGCAGCAGCTGCCTGTGTCTAAGAGATCAGGCCCTTTTTACCTCTATCCTTAGTTATCACCTTAGAATAGGTCATCATTACTTTACTTATATTACTATACGTGTGCCACGATGTTATTTTAACTATCCAAAAAGGGTTTTATTATTAAAGCACCACCAAACCAAACTGTGGTTATCATAATCCCAACGCTCCTTGTAGATCTACTTGGCAATCAAATACAATATTTTCAAGTCCCAGGCATTATCTTTTGAAGGTTCAAGTTGTAAAACACCATAATCCAAACTCTTTCTGGATGTCATTAGGAGTTTGACACATCCATATACACCACAGAATCATACAGTTGGCCATAGGTTGAGTATTTCTTTAGTAATTCTTTAGTTTAGATAACTTAACTTCAAAACCCAAACTAATTCCCTCTAAGCCTTAGTTTTCTGTACTAATACTAAGCAACTTTCATTAAGTTTGCAAGAGAACTGTATTATACTGTATTGTCATAATTAACACAATTATTTTATCAATTATAGGTAAAAATATAAGGAAATGGTTTCTATGGGCAAATGCAGAGATGAGAGAATAAAGTTAAAGCATCGCTTTGATGTTTTAACATCACTCAATGCTTATATTTAAAAATAATAAGAAGACAGTACCTCAGGATCAGAAGGTGATTCTACATCTTCCTCTTCTCCTAATCCTAATGCTGACATCATATCTATAAAATACAGACAAATTAATGAAAACGTGTGTTACTATGAATTTTAAACACATAGTCTATCTCCATTCATAAATATTTCAATAAAATAAAAGCAATAGCAGAAAGCATGTTCAGGGAGTTGAAGATTTTCAGGAAGAAAAAGGTGGTAGTACTTGGGATACTTATAAAGAAAGCAACAGACACATAAAGATAGCAACAGAAAAATATCTTAACGAAAAATGAATAATATATTTGGATCTACATACTTTCAGATTTTTTCATACTAGCATTTAACCATAGAAAAACAACTCACAGAGATTCACTAGCTTACCACTTCTGTAATTTTTATGCACTCCACCAGAAGTCAAACTGTCATTAACTGTTTGCTCTGGTGGCACATTTTCAATAATACCAATACCATCTTCCTTTGCTTCCACTGCTGACTTTGCTGTTCCTTCCTATAAAAACAACACAAAACAAAAACCCAGCTTCAGAAAAACATCACATTAATTCATTTGGTCACGCACTCACCCACTCAGAAAGACAAACACATACTGTATCTGTCAAGTCATAGGCACTATCCGGGGAGGAGCTGGAAATATAAATAAAAGACAGAGTCTGTTCTATAGGCTAGTAGTGGTAGAGATGCATGAAAACAGGTAAGGACAGAAAAATATCCACTAGTTCTACGAGTGAAGTGAATAACGCACAGTGAACGCACAAAGGAGAAAACACATTTGGGAAGCTCAGCAAACTCTGGGAAGATAAGGCTGTATCTTAAAAGACAGACAAGTGCACAGGGAGGGTGTGAAGGGCATTCTAGAATGAGCAAAAGGATCAAGTATGAAATAATATAGTAAGTGACAACACCTATGGAATATGGCAAAACTGGAACAGAGTTATTGGGAAGGGGATAGATAGATATTACTGGAACATCAGGACGAAACCAAAAAATAAAAAGAGCAAGTGTTATGCTAGAACATGAGTTTCCTCCTACAGGTAATGGGGATCCATTAAATAAGCAGAGGAATTACATCGTCACAAATATATTTTAGAAAAGTCACTCTGACAGCAATGTAGGATGAACATAAAGGAAGCAAAACCAGAAGAGTATTGCAAAATTATAGGTGAGAGAGTGAATTATAGGAATAACATGAAAAATGGTAAGCAGGTACAAAATATCGAATGTGGTGAGTGACTGGATGCGGTCGTTTCAGGGAAGTTCGGAGTCCAGGACTTTTCCTGTTTCAAGGCTGCTATTTATTAGGCTAGGGAAAACAAATGACAGAGCAGATTACAAAGAGTCAGGAAAGAGGAAAGGGGAAGGGTCAGAAACAATGTCTTTAAACTAGGACATATTAAATTTGAAGTACCCAGGGGACTTCCGAAGAAAATTTTAGGGCCGCTTGAATGCCTCAGTCAGTTAACACCTGACTCTTGATTTTAGCTCAGGTCATGATCTCGCAGTTCATGGGTTCAAGCCCCCCATCTGGTTCTGCACTGACAGTGCAGGGCCTGCTTGGGATTATCACTCTCTCCCTGTCTCTCTGCTACTCCCCACTTGTGCTCTCTCTCTCTCTCTCCAAATAATAAATGAATAAACTTAAAAAAAAAAAAAAAGACAAAATTCAGATCAATAAATTTCGAGGAAGAAAAGCCCATAATAAATATCTATAAAACATATTAAACTGATATAATAATGCAAACCTACACAGAACTTTGAAATTGTGAAAAGGAAAATAAAAGGAGGAGGGAGGAGTTAAGATGGCAGAGGAAGGGGATCAGAATTTCCCTTGTCCCTCAAACACAGCAGTATTGAGGTCAGAGCACTTGGAATACCAGGAATACAGGCTGCACAGTGACAGAAAAATCTCCACAGGTGCAAAGAGACAGCTTGGTGGGACAGAAGTGTGTGTATGCGAATTAGGAGAAATAAAATGGGCAACACAGGCATGGAGTGGGGGAAGCCCTTCAGTGGAAAAACGAACGGAAGAGAAGGAGAGGCTGTGGGAAGTGTGGGATTGTATTTGGATAAGAGAAAACCTCTCCGGACCCCGGACCAAGGAGAGGTCCAGAGAGTCAATTTCTACTTTGCAAAACTGCCTTAGAAGCTAAAAATCAGAATTTTCAAGGTTGCCAGACTTTCTCTAGACCAGAGCTGCCACCTCCCACGCCTGGTGGGGAGGGAGCCACCCCCAGGCTTGGTAGCAATCTCAGGGCTACACTGGTAGAGAACAGTCCCCTCCCTTGAGTACAGTGGAAAGAGGGTATATTACCCCCCAACCAAGGGAAAAAGACCCTGCAGGCACAAGCCAGAGGCCCTTTGTCCCCTGGACAGACTGGCGTTACCCCAGAACCAGGTCTGGGGGAACAGGGATCCTCTAAGGTTTTGAATCCCAGCGGAGTGCTCAGGAAGCATAGGAGACTGTGGAGCAAGGCGAGCCGGCCCCCCCCAGGCTATTCTGTGAGGACAGCCTAAAGAGTGAGGTTTGAGGCACCTCGTGTGGGGAGGAGAGATTAGAGTGTCGCCATTTTTCTCCCCACCAACATGGTGGGGTTTCAGGGAACGGACACAAGCCCCAATGGAGGCAGACCCATTACACCAAACCCCGCCCCTCTGGGCCTGGTAACTGCTTCTCTAAGGTAGTGAGACTGACACTGACGGAACCAGACAGCCCCTCCTCCAGACCAGCACAGCCTCCAGTCCCGGGCACTAGTAGACAACTGTCCTGTGGTTGTGTATGTTAGTTTGGTTTTTTTTTACTTTAATTACTTTTTTTTCTTTTCTTTCTTTTTATTTAATATTTATTTCCTTATTTTGAGAGGAGAGTGAGTGAACAAGCAGGAGAGGTGCCGAGAAAGGGAGAGAGAGAGAATTCCAAGCAGGATCCATGCTGTCAGTGCAGAGCCTGATGCGAGGCTCGAACCCCCGAACAGTGAGATCATGACCTGAGCCAAAATCAAGAGTCGGACATGTAACCACATGAGCCACCCAAGCAACCCTCTTTTCTTTCGGTTTCTTTCCTTCTCTTTTCCCTTTTCTTTCTCCTCTACTCTTTCCTCTCCTCCCTTTGGAATCAGCCTCATAGTCTCTGATTTGACTTTACGTCAAATCTTACTATATATATTTTTTCTTTTTTCCTCTGTTTTGGTTATTTGTTTGTTTAAAAGCGGACATTTTACTCTATTCCTTTCACACCTTTTCTGTATCTCCTTCTTTATTTTCTTCTCTCTCTTTCTGGATTAAGCCCTATAGTTTCTTTGATTCTCTGCCTGGTCTTTTTTGCCACCCCTGTCATACCTCTCTTTGTTTGGGATAAGGTTTCTTCAACACCCCCTTCTCCTTTTTTCCAGGGTTACTTCAACAAACAAATCAAAACACACCTGGTGGAAGGTCCAAACCACTACTCCAAGTAGGGAGAAAAGCAGACAAAGACACAACAAAAGAGTGCACACAACACACTCCAAAAACACTTCTTCAAGTGCCAGGCCCTGGACAGTGCATGACCATTTTTTAATATAGTAGTACTTGCAGGTGCGGGACACATAACAAGTTATTAAAACACATAAAGGACAGGAAACTAGCCAAAATGACAAAACAGAAGAATTCTCCTCAAAAAAAATTCCAGGAAGAAAGGAGAGCCAGAGAATAGCTCAAAAGAAATATAAACAATATATCTGATCAAGTATTTGGAATAACAGCCATAAGACTAATAGCTGGGCTTCAAAAAAAGCACAGAAGACAGCAGACAATCTACTGCTTCAGAGATCAAGGACCTAAAGAATAGTCACGATGAATTAAGAAAGCTGTAAACAAGGGGCACGTGGGTGGCTCAGTCGGTTGAGCATCCGACTTTGGCTCAGGTCATGATCTCACTGTTGGTGAGTTCAAGCCCCGCATCGGGCTCTGTGCCGACAGCTCAGAGCCTGGAGTCTGCTTCGGATTCTGTGTCTCCCTCTCTCTGCTCCTCCCCTGCTCATGTTCTGTCTCTCTCTCTCTCCTTCAAAAATAAATAAAAACATTTAAAAAACTTAACAAAATAAAAATTAAAAAAAGAAATGCTGTAAACAAGATACAAAATAAACTAGATGCAGTGACAGCAAGGATGGGAGAAGCAGAAGAGAGAATAGGTGAAATAGAAGATACAATTATGGACAAAGATGAAGCAGAGAAGGGAAAGAAAGGAAATTACTAGACCATGAGGCAGGTATTAGAGACCTAAGTGATTCAGTGAGATGAAATAATATCCACATCATAGGAGTCCCAGAAGAAGAGTGAGAGAAAGGGGCAGAAGGTTTATTTGAACAAGTTATAGCTGAGAACTTCCCCCATCTGGGGAAGGAAACAGGCATCCAAGTCCTGGCGGCACAGAGAATTCCCTTCAAAATCAACAAAACTAGGTCAACACCATGACATGTCATAGCGAAACTGGAAAAATGCAAAGATAAAGAGAAAATTCTGAAAGCAGCTAGGGACCAACGGATCTTAATCTACAAGGGAAGACACTTAAGGGTAGCAGCAGACCTGTCCAGTGAAACTTGGCAGGGCAGAAGGGAGGAGTAGGAAACGGTCAATGTGCTGAATGGGAACATATGCAGCAAAGAATCCTTTCCCCAGCAAGGCTGTCATATGAATAGAAAGAGAGAGAAAGGCTTTCCCAGACAAACAAACCTAATGGAGTTCATGACCACTAAACCAGCCCTGCAGGAGATCCTAAGGGGGACTCTGTGAGTGGAAAGCAGCACAGACTACAAAGGACCAGAGTCCTCACCACAAGCATGAAACCTACAGATAACACAATGACACTAAATCCATATCTTCCATATCTTAAAATAATCACTCTAAATATAAATGGACTAAATGCCCCAATCAAAAGACACAGGGTACCAGAAAGGATAAAAAAAACCCCAAGATCCATCTATATACAGTCTACAAGAGACAGATTTTAGACCTGAGGACACCTGCAGATTGAAAGTGAAGCTTTGGGGGGCAGCTGGGTGGCACAGTCGGTTAAGCGTTTGACTTCGGCCCAGGTCATGATCTCACAGTTCATGAGTTCGAGCCCCGCATCAGGCTCTGTGCTGACAGCTTGGAGCCTGGAGCCTGGAGCCTGCTTTGGATTCTGTGTCTCCCTCTCTCTCTCTCTCTCTCTCTCTGTCCCTCCCCAGCTCATGCTTGCACTCTGTCTCTGTCAAAAATAAATAAACTTAAAAAAAAAATTTTTTTTGTTTAAAGAAAAGACAGTGAAGCTTTGGAGAACCACCTATCATGCTACTAGAAGTCAAAAGAAAGATGGAGTAGCCATACTTACATCAGACAAACTTGATTTTAAAGCGAAAACTGTATGAACAGATTCAGAAGGGCATTATATCTATTGTTGGAGATATTCGAATAAGTAAAAATCATCTTCTCAAAAGAATTTTGTATACTCTCGTGGCAACCTTTCCTGCCTTATGATTCTATCATGACAAAGAGTTCACATTAGACAAAAATTTATACATTTTGAGTTCATTCATTTGGTATGTGTGTATGTGTCTATTCTATGCAGATACTATTGAAAAAAGAGTGGCACCTGGGTGGCTCAGCTGGTTAAGCGTCCAACTTGATTTTGGCTCAGGTTATTCAAGCTCCGTGTCAGGCTCGACACTGGCAGCACAGAGCCTGCTTAGGATTCTCTGTCTGTCTGTCTCTCTCTCTCTGCCTCTCTCTCTCTCTCTCTCTCTCTCTC